AGCCAAGGCCCAGTAGTCCTCTTGGACAACCTTAAACTACATTCTCAAAGTGACCATGAAGTCACTTTTGTGGCATCTCAGGCTATTATCCTCAGGCCACACTCTCCCCATCCAACAATGCATTTCTATAAAGAACTTCAGTTGGCCTCAAGCAACTGTCTTCCCACCCTGTGGCTACTTCTGCGTTAGCTCTGCCATGCTCTCAGGCAATTGCCTCCTTCCTACCAGTCAGACTGTTTCTAATAGATCAGCTCTACATTACCAACACCGTCCTGAAACAGTGAGCTGATATTACAGATCTGCTCTGGCCTAACCAGATGGCAAGGTTCTTCACCACCAGAGCACTGTATGTTTTGTGGCAGCCACATCTTATTTGAAGAAGTCTAATCTCAGCCTAGGTTTGGGGCTCTCCTAAGTCTTTAGTTCCTTCATTGTCTACTTTCTCTTGGTCCAGATCTACTTCTTTGTACTTACTAATTAATTATGAATACCATGGAGTCCTCTTTTACCTCTTTTAGTAGTTAATAACATTTTACTAGTTAACAATTCTTTATATTACTTCTCCCTGCTTAAACAGGGGTATGGTTTCTATCTCCTAACTGGATCCTGACTGATATATACATGGTTTATACATACATAGATCTATCTCTCTCACAACACTCACACACATGTAAAACACAGCACAGTAGCACAAAGGATAGGAGCGATGAACTGAAAGTATTGATCTAAGGTTCTTATATTAAATGTGAAGTAGTATATTATGTGAAGGTAGATTATAATAGGTTAAAGAAACATAATATAAACCTTTCAACATTGAAATGAAGTAGAGTTAATAAATCAATAATAGTAAAATTTAATCCTAAATAACACAAAAATAATTTAAAAGAAGAAAAGTAAAGAGGGAAAAAATAACAAAGAACAACTGGGACAAACAGAAGACAAACTGTTAAGTTGGTGAACTTAAATTCAATCATATCAGTAATCATATTAAACATAAACAGTCTAAACACTCCAGTTAAATGAGCCAGATTGTTAGACTGGTCAAAATCAAAGAACCAACTAATGTTGACCTCAAGAAACCCACTTGAGTTATAGAGGCAGAAACAGATTAAAATAAAAGAATGCAAGCTCTAATTCCAGTACAGCAGAATAAACTCCTACTGGACCAATCCTCTGGCAACTAAAACACTGAACAACACACACAGACAAAATGAACCTAAGGCACTGCAAGAGTAAACAAATAAGCCAATTCTGAAGGAGAGTCAAAACTTATAAGAAAGAACGGCACTGGGTGATTCTGGGTTTCATTTAAAAAAAAAAAAAAGCATTTAGTCTAAGGAAGGATACAGTTATCACAAAAAATGGCTAAAATTCCAATAGAAAACTGCAGTGTTGCTAGCCTAAAGGAGGACAGAGTTCAGGGCAACCATGGCCCCTGACAAATAAAGGGAGAATACCAGAAAAAAAAAATAAAAGCCAGGGAGGGGAAACCCCAAATCCTATGTATAAACTTTGCCTAAATCAGTGGCTGACTGCAAAACCATTTACATGTGGAAGAAACTACAACTAAAGATAAAAGAACCAGACTGAGATTTCAGCTGCCTTCCAAGAGGCTGTTTACTGCTTGAGTCAAACCAGGTAAATTAATCACTGAAATATTGGGCTGGCCGGCAAGTTCGTTCAGGTTTTTCCATAAGATGTTATGGAAAAACCCAAACAAACTTTCCGGCCAGCCCAATAAAAACATCAACACTCTTTGATGAAATATAACAGATTCCAGTCTCCAAAACATATGTCCTCATTTGTCAGAATATAATCTAAAATTACTCAATATATGAAAACCCAGAAAAATGTCAACAACAACAATGGATAGCAATCTCAAGAAAAGACAGCAACCTCAGGAGACAAATACTTTTAAAGGGCTCAAAGAGGGCTTCCCTGGTGGCGCAGTGGTTGAGAGTCCGCCTGCTGATGCAGGGGACACAGGTTCGTGCCCCAGTCCGGGAGGATCCCACATGCCGCGGAGCGGCTGGGCCCGTGAGCCATGGGCACTGAGCCTGCGCGTCCGGGGCCTGTGCTCCGCAATGGGAGAGGCCACAACAGTGAGAGGCCTGCGTACTGCAAAAAAAAAAAAAAAAGGGGGGGCTCAAAGAAATAAAAACCGTCAAGTTAGAATTCAACAGCCATTGTATAGATAATTCAGTGTGGAGTCTTATGGTGCAATCTTCTTCATCTTCTTGATTGTTTCACCTTTTTGCCTGAAACCCCCAAGAATTTTTCCTTTAGCTTTAAAGTCTGAAAAAATCTTTGAAAAAATTTCACACCCATTACTAACAAAAAAATCTTGAGAAAATAGGAATTAATAGTGTGGTAAGTAGCCCCTAGGATGGTCCCCAGTGATCTCTGCTACCTGGCATTCAGGACCTTGTGTAATAGCCTCCCCTTGAGTGTTCATTAGATCTAGTGGCTCCCTTCTAAAGGACAGATATGGTAACAGTGACAGGATGCCACTTCCAAGATTAGGTCAGAAAGAGACTATGGCTCTTGTCTTGTATACCCTTTCTTGCTCTTCTGCTTGCTCACTCTGATGGAAATCAGCTGCCATGTTGTGAGCAACATAACAGAGGCTAAGTGGCAAGGAACTAAAGGAGTTCTCTGCCCAACAGCCAGCTAGGAACTGAGGCCCTCAGTCCAACGAACTGCAAGAAATTGGTTGAATCCTGCCAACAACCACATGAGTGAACACAGAAGAGGATCTTTCTTCAGTTGAGCTTTCAGGTAAGTCAGAGCCCTGGGCAACAATCTTGATTAGAGACTTGAAAGAGACATTGAAGCAAAGGCACCCAGCTAAGCCAAGCCCAGATTCTGGACCTTCAGAAAATATCAGAGAATAAGTGTTTATTCTTTTAAGCACACCTACATTTTAAGCAAGTACATTTTGGGTAATCTGTTAAGCAGCAATAGATTACTAACACAGATGGATATTTACTGAACACAAAAGAATTGTGTTAACTGTAAAGCCAGCATCTTTCTTAGTGGGGAAAACCTGGAGGTATTCCCACTAAGGTCAGAAAGATGACAAGTATGCCCACTACCTCAAGTACAATTTCACACTGCCCTGGAGAGGGACTAGCCAATGCAATCAGAATAGAGAAGATAATTAAAGATTTGCAAAAGAAGAAATAACACTGTCTGTATTTTCAGACATGAGAGTATACCTGGAAAACTCTGGAGAATCAATGATAAAACTGACTCAAACAATAAAAGATTTCAGGAAGGAGCAAGATATAAAGTTAACATGCAAAAACCCATAGTGCTCCTATATACAAAAAATAGCCAGTTAGAAGATATAACAGATAAGAAAAATCATTTACACAGCAAAAAAAATAAATATTTAGGAACAAACTATTAGAAATGTTCAAAATCTATATGAAGAAAAATATAAAGCACCTATTAAGGACAGAAAAGTAGACCTAAAAAAATTTTAAGTCATCCTTGTTCTTGGAAATACACACTGAAGTATTTAAGGGTAAAGAACCACAATGTATGTAACTTTTTCTCAAAAGCTTCAGAAAAAAAATAAATACACATATAATATGTATAGAGAGAATGAAAGCAAAAACTTGATAAAGCAAATGGGGTAGAACATCACCAAAGATGTTTAAACTGAACCTAATCCAGAGGAAACAATCAGACAAATCCAGACATCTACTTCAAAAAGATATTTTTTGGGGAAAATTGGGATAATTTAAATATGAACTATATATTAGATGATATTATTGAAATAATATTACTTTTCTTAGGCCTAAAAACAATACAATTACGTGCAAAAATGTCTTTATTCTTAGGAGATACATACTAATGTATTTAGGGGTAAAGTATCATAATGTGTGTGAGAGAGGGAGAGAAGGAAGGCGGAGGGAGAGAGCGAGAGTAAAGAGAGGGTAGGAAAGGCAAAGAGAGAAAGGAAATGTGGCAAAATGTTAAGTGGTTAAATTTAGGTGAAGACTGAACAGTTGATCCTTGAACAACATGGGTCTGAACTACACAAGTCCATTTATACTCTGATTTTTTTTTTCAACAAGTACCTACTACAGTTCTACACCATCTGAGGTTGGGTGAGTCCACAGATGTGGAACTGTGGATATGGAGAGCCGACTATAAAGTTATACTTGGATTTTCAACTATGAGGGAGTGGCACCTCTAACCCCCATGTTGTTCAAGAATCAATTGTATGGATGCTCATTGTACTATGCTTTCAACTTTTTTGTTGGTTTGAAATTTTTTTAAATAAAAGGATGGATAAAAAAGAAAACGACAGAGACTCCCGGCTTATAGAGGAAGGTGTAAAGTTAGCTTTCCCTACTTTACCTCCTGAAAATCATACCAAATAATAAAAGGAACAAGGAAAGGTGATGCAAATTCCTCCTTCAACGGAATTAGACGGGTAGAAAGAAAGGGAAATACAAGATATTGAAATTTCTTATCTTCTTTAGTGAACAGATACTTGAAGTTGATGTACTAAAAAACAAAGGTGTAAACATTATTTAGTATTATGGAGGTAAATCATCAACAGAACTAAAACAAATGTAGGATGTAAGGAAGGGGTCTTTTACTCTATATTTTAAATCTTTTATACCATCAGACTGTTTATATCAGTATCACATGTAGTAGTAGTAACAATAATAATAATAAATATTCCCAATTACATGGAGTATCCAGAAGGATTCTGTGACAAAGATGCTGCCCCCAGAAAAAAATGTATCTTTCATCACCTTCACTACCCTGAAGTAAGATATTTAAAACACAAATTTAAATGGTAAAATACTTTAAAATACTATTGGGTTTAGCAGAACCACAGGTCTACCTACATGAGCACCATGATCATAATACCAAAAAATAATAAATTAATACATTAAAATTGTATTTCCCATTATTTCAAATAACTTAAAATTATATTCATTCTTGTCTTTTAAAAAAATTTGAATAAGCAGACTCACAGTTCCACAAGGTTTGGAAGCTTCTGAGCAAGGTTTTCTGGCTGAAAATTAAAAACTCAGAATTAAATTTTATTTTTGAAAAATGTATAAACATTTCTAAATAGCTTAAACACAAAGTACTATCTTTTGAAGGGCGGTGAATTTTCAGAAAATGTGAAAATAATAAATCAGCAGGTCTGGGTTTATACTTACATAGACCATACTACAATTTAAATTTATACATTTGAACAGAAACCAGATCTCATACTCCACAATCATGGAAGAAATGAAAATGTTTTTAACAGACAAAGACAGAGGGAATAACACTATGTGATGTCGGAGCCAGAGATTGGAGTGATGCAGCTGCAAAGTCAAGGAACACCGCTGGCAACCTCCAGAAGCTCAGAGAAAGGAACAGATTCTTCCTCAGAGCCACGAGAAGAAACCAACCCAGCCAACACCTTGATTTTGAACTTCTGCCCTCCAGAACTGTGAGACAATCAATTTCTGTTATTTTAAGTCACATAGCCTGTGTAATTTGTTATAGCAGCCATAAGAAAATAACACCTACCCCCCACCAAACCAAAATCCCAAATTGCACCTCAGGAGGAAGAAACTAAAATCCCAGGGGGCTGACATCAAAACCTAACCAAACTCAGGATAAAAAGAGTAAGCTGGAGCTCAGGTGGTCTAAGGGAGTGTCACATCTGGCCCAAGTTCTAAGTTCGGAGTAGGAGTGTGATACGGCAGGGATAGGAAACTGGCCATTGGGAGGAGAGGAAGGGAGATGGGTCTAGGTCTCTTACACAGAGTCATAGCTCTGGAAGGACTGGCTATTCCATGAAAAGAATCCTAGAAAAATTCCAGTCGTAGACTGAAAGCAGACTTCTCTCTGCTGGAGGCCCTGGGTAGAAGGAAAAGCCTCCTGTAAGTAACTGAAAGTCAGCCTGCATCTCTCACACATGCACATGCACACAGATACACATAAACACAAAGACAGGAGTTGTTAAAGCTAAAGGAGCACACTGAGTTAGGAGTAATTTTTTTTTATTCTACATTAAAACATACTGTAGAGTTAAGCTAAATATCAGTAACAAAGAATCAGGAATGACTTTTTAAAAGAAATTATGTCTAACCTGAGGCTTGAAAGACAAATATAAATTATCAGAGGTTGCCATGGAGCGGGGAGGAGAAAGTTCTGGTTAGCTTTGTAGGCACATGAAGCAACATATGAAAAGACAAAAAGAGAGGTATGTTTGGGAAATCAAAAATATAATTTTTTCTGCTGTAACTCCCCAACAGTACTCATGACAAAAATCTTATATTTTCAAACACTTGTTATAAAAACAATTGTGTCAACAGAAAAACAAAAGTTTGGGGGACTATAAAGTTTTAGATTTGTAACAAATAATTTTTCTGAGAGAAATTTATAAACAGTGATTATCATTAGGAAAAGGACCAGTGTTGCTATTCTCCATCTACTTTTTTATCATCTGAATCTTTAACAATGAGCATGTATGTCTTTTAAATTAAAAAAAATTAAATTTTAAAATGTAGTATTTAAATTGCTACATAATTGAGTAACCAATCATATGATATGCAATTTAGGTTCTAAACACTCAATAAGAGAAATGCCATTAGTTTGGTATTTCTGGGCCATCAGGTATGAAGGTATATGATTTTGCAGAGAGTACCAAGGAACAGATCACTAAAGGCTTATATTTTATATTGAGGAAAAACTATTTTTAAAAATCTTGAACACAATGGAAATCCATTAGTTTATTTTAATCAAGGAAATAAAACTATTAATTTCATATAGGTATACTGATGTATTTAAATACTTAGCAACAGTATCCCAAGCTACTTACACATATAATATCCTCGCCCTTTTACAATAAAATAGCACTGAATATGAATACTGTTTATGAAGTCAGTGAAACATTTATTGAGTTCCCACTTTTGATAAAACCACATTTTGTTTTCAAATGCTGAATGCTGTGATTCCCTTTCCCCCATGTTTTGACATCAATTATCTGCAATGAGGTCCTTCATGAATGGTCTTTCCTTGAATGTTGCTCTTGGATCTGTCCAAGTCCCCAAAATGTTTCTTCTAGTACTGGTATCTCGCCTAGTAAGAGGAATATACACTTCCACTTATGGGCATACTTACAAAGCATCCCAGGCAAACTAAAGCACTCTGTGGGTGGTGGAGGGGAGATAAGAGGCTTAATAGTTGTTCCTCTAAAAAGGAAAGGCTTGTCCAGAAAAGAAGTGGTATTAGACCCTCATCTAGTTTGATCTGCTACAATATCAGTATCATATCTGGCTAACTAAAGGACCCATGGTCATTCTTTCCAGATGCCTACTTGTCTCCATCAGACAGAATCGCAATTTTTCCATGACAAACTAGTTACCTCTTTGAGCTATTTAGCTACACACACAATTAAGCACTGAATAATGTTCCTGCTGCCATTAGTGCATCACTATGTCTTTATTAGTAAGTATCCTGAGTTTTAATTTAAAAATAAGCACACCAACCTTGAGAAAACTGCAGTTCATCAGAATACTGGGTTTTAAAAAACCCCAAAAGCCTGGTAAATAATCAGCCTGCTGCAAAGGCTGTGGCTGACACCTACTGGTGTTCTATAATACATTCTCTGCTATATAGTGGCACATTTTAGCAATGTAACTGAATAATATAAGAGAAATATTATACATTTTAATTTTTCTATTTCCATAGTTTATGAAAAGTGGGTAAGAGACTGGACAACTATATGTTAACATCAACATTTTTGTTACTCTGCGGGTAACTAAGCTCTAATGCTGGATTACAGATGCCACACAAACTAGTTTATCTTGATTTATAGGATTTAGTCTATTAAGTTTTAAAATGTTTTTAAATTTTAAAATCCTGATAGACAAAAGTAATAACCTTAGGGCTTCCCTGGTGGCGCAGTGGTTGAGAGTCCGCCTGCCGATGCAGGGGACATGGGTTTGTGCCCCGGTCCGGGAAGATCCCACATGCCGCGGAGTGGCTGGGCCCGTGAGCCATGGCCGCTGAGCCTGCGCGTCCGGAGCCTGTGCTCCGCGACGGGAGAGGCCACAACAGTGAGAGGCCTGCGTACCGCAAAAAAAAAAAAGTAATAACCTTAAAGTGCCTTGCAAAACTGTTATTACTAATATTTCCTTCTTTTTCACAATTTTGACATACAAAAGTTTTAATAAACAATCTGTACCCAAATTCCTTGAGTATGAATACTTCCTACTAAACTACTTAAAAATTGTTTTATAAATTAAGACAAAATTCTCTTCATTAAATCTCATACTATCACTTAACTGAACAATTTTTTCTTTACAAATAATGTAAAGGTAAACTTCAGCAAGCACAGTTAGTATAAAATTTACCTCAAATTTTGAATCAATTATGCTTTACCATGTCCTTTTACGGAGAACTTTCAACCCCCTTAAATGGGAATGTTTTAAAATTGCGTATCTTGGAACAAATATTTCAAATATGTTGCAAACACATGTTCAATCCTGTCCTCTTGTAGTGACTGTGCACTACTTACTTTCTTTTCTTCTCCTTCTGGGCAGCTGGTAGGATTACACTTCTCTCTTCAAGCTCGACGTGGCTAAGTGACTTGCTTCGGTCAATGGAATTATGTCAAAGTAGAGGCCTTAGAGAGCTTGAGCACGAAAGGTCCACAGTGACCTTTATCAGCTTTCATCCCTGAGTAAAGATACCACGAACCAAAGTCCCCGAGAGATCTGAGAGAGTAGTGCAGCATGAATGAGAAATCATTGTGCTGTTACAAACCACTAGGATTCAGGGTTCTGCAAAACCTGCCATCCAGCCTCTAACAACACATTTTAAAGAAGTCATGAATTAAGTGCATAGTTTTTACAGCAGTTATAAAAAGTAGAATAAAGTCAGACTTCTACCTCACACCATATACAAAAGTTAACTAAAAATTAACTAAAAACGGATCAATGACATATCTAAGAGCTAAAACCATAAAACTCATAGAAGAAAACATGGGTAAATCTTCACGATCATGGATTTGGCAATGGATTCATAGATATGAAACCCAAAGCAGGAGCAACAATAGAAAAAATGGATAAACTGGACTTCATCAAAATTTAAAATTTTTGTGCATAAAAGGACATTTCAAGAAAGTGAAAAGGCAATATATAGAAGAAAATATCTGCAAATCATATAACCAATGGGGTCTAGCATTCAGAATATATAAAGGACACTTACAACTCAACCACAAAAAAACAAACAACCCAATTGAAAACAGGCAAAGGATTTGAAAAGACATTCTTTAAAGAAGATATGCAAATGGTCAAAAAGCACACGAAAAGACACCCAAATTCATTAGCATTAGGGAAATGCAAATCAAAGCCACAATGAGGTACCACTTCAAAACCACCAGGATAGCCATAATTTGTTAAAAATGTAAAATAACAACTATTGACAAGGATGTGGAGAAACTGGAACCCTTGTACATTGCTGGCAGTAATGTAAAATGGTTCAGCCACCGTAGAAAACAGTTTGGCTGTTCCTCAAAAAGTTAAACATAGAATTGCCATAAGACTCCATAATTCTACTCCTAAATATATACCCAAAATAATTAAAAACAGGTACTTAAACATGTACATGTACACCCATGCTCATAGCAGCACTGTTCATAATAACCATAAGGTGGGAACAGCCCAAATGTCCATCAATGGATTAACAGATAAACAAATTATAGTATACTCATATAGTGGAATCTAATTAAGTCATAAGAAGGAATGATACATGCTACCACTTGGATGAACCTTGAGAACATTTTGCTAAGTGAAAAGAAGCCCTACACAAAAGGTGACATACTGAATGATCCCATTTATACGAAATATCCAAAATAGATAAATCCAGGGAGATAGAACACAGATTGCTGGTTGCAGAGCTGGGGTGTGGAGGAGAGTGGGGAGAAACTGCTTAATGGATAAGGGGTTTTCCTTTGGAGTCATGGATATGTTTGGAGCTAGAAAGAGGTGGTGGTTGTGCAACACTGTG